ATATATATATATAATCAAGAGCTTTAAAAACAGACATGGGAGAGATATGGCTGAAATCTAGGAAGCTCAAAGGTTCTCAAATAGAATCAACCCCAAAATGGTCTTCTCTGAGTTGTATAACAGTCAAACTTTCAGAAGTCAAAAAGACGGAATATTGGTCAGGTGCAGTGGCTCACACCTGTAATCCCAGGACTTTGGGAGGCTGAGGCAGGTGGATCACAAAGCCAGAAGTTCAAGACGAGCCTGGCCAACTTAAAGAAACCCCGTCTCTACTAATAATACAAAAGAACTTAGCTAGGTGTAGTGGCATGCACGTGTAGTTCTAGCTACTTGGGAGGCTGAATCATGAGAAATGCTTAAACCCAGGAGATGGAGTTTGCAGTAAGCTGAGATCACACCATTGCACTCCAACCTGGGTAACAGTGAGACTGTCCAAAAAAAAAAAGGAAATATTAAAAACAGCAAGAAAAAAGCATCAAGTCACATGTAAGGGAAACTCCTTTAGGTTAATAGTGGATTTCCCAATGGAAACTTTACAGGTCAGTAGATAATGGGATGATATAATCAATGTACTGAAAGGAAAAAAAAACTAAAAAACTATAAACTAAGAATACTATACCTAGCAGAGCTATCCTCTAGAAATGAGGGAGAAATAAAGTATTTCCTAGGCAAGCAAAACCTGAGAGAATTCATCACCACTAGACTGGCCTTACAGGGAATTCTACAAATGGGAGGTTCTACAAATGGAAGCAAGAGGATGATTACCATCATGAGAAACACAAAACTATGAAACTTACTGGTAGAGCAGATACATAAGAAAGAGAAAGAAATCAAACTTTATCACTACAGAAAACCACCAGCCCACAAAGATTAAAAAAAAAAAAATAGAGGAAGAAAAGAACACAGGATATAAAAAACAACCAAAAAAAAAAAAAAAGAATAAAATGACAGGACAAACCCTCATATATTAATAGTAACCTTGAAAGTAAACAGATCAAATTCCCACTTAAAAGATATAGAGTTGGTTGCCAAGATAAAACAAACAAACAAAAAACCCAACTACATACTGCCTACAAGAAACTAACTTCACCTGTACAGGTACTCGCAGACTGAAAGTGAAGGGACAGAAAAAGATATTCCAAGCAAACAGAAACCAAAAGTGAGCAGGAGTAGCCATACTTAAATGAGATAAAACAGACTTTAAGTCAAACTGTATAAGGAGACAAAGACAGACATTTTATAATGATGAAAGGATCAACTTAGCAATAGGATATAATAAGTGCAAATATATATGTACCCAACACTAGAGCACTCAGATAAACAAGGCAAATATTAGATCTAAAGGGAAAGACAGACTCCAATCCAGTAACAGTTGGGTTCTTAAACACCCCATAACACTTCACTCATAGCACTGGACAGATCATCTAGACAGAAAATCAATAAAGAAATGTCAGATTTCAGCTTATAGAGAGGAATAAGTTTTGATATTCTATAGCACTGTAGGATGACTACAGTTAATAATAATTTATTGTCTATTTTTAAATAGAGAGGCTCTTGAGTGTTCCCAGAACAAAGAATGGTAAATATTTGAGGTGATGGATATGCTGATTTTCCTGATTTGATCATTACACATTGTACACAGGTATTGAGATATCACTCTCTACCTTACAAATATGAACAAGTGTAATGTGTCAATTAAAATTTTTTTTAAAGAATGAAAAAAGCAAATTTTTTATTGAGACTTTTTTTTTTTGAGACGAAGTCTCACTGTGTAACTCAGGCTGGAGTGCAGTGGCACAATCTCGGCTCCCTGCAAACTCTGCCTCCCGGGTTCATGCTATTCTCCTACCTCAGCCTCCCAAGTAGCTGGGACTACAGGCGCCCCGCCCCATGCCCAGCTAATTTTTTGTATTTTTAGTAGAGACGGGGTTTCACCGTGTTAGCTAGGATGGTCTCAATCTCCTGACCTCGTGATCTGCCCACCTCGGCCTCCCAAAGTGCTGGGATTATAGGCGTGAGCCACTGTGCCCAGCTGTAAAAAGCAGATTTTTTGAAAGAAAGAAAAGAAAATAACATGACTTGGCTGAATGGTCCCATGTGGTGTCTCATTCTCTAGTAGGCTACTTCAGGTCTGTTCACATGATGGCAGTGGCAAGAGTACCAGGAGCAGCAAGCAAAACAATGTAAATCCTCTTAAGGTCCAGGCTCAAAATTAGTATAATATTACTTCTATCCCATTTTATTGGACAATGCAAATTATACTGCCAGTCTGGATTCAGAGTACAAAATAGACTCCAACTCCTGGTGGAAGGAATTGTAAAGAATCACGGATCTCTCTCTCTCTCTTTTTTTTTTTTTTTTTTTTTTGAGACAAAGTCTCACTCTGTGGTCCAGGCTGGAGTGCAGTGGTGCAATCTTTGCTCCCTGCAAGCTCCACCTCCCAGGTTCACGCCGTTCTCCTACCTCAGCCTCCCGAGCAGCTGGGACTACAGGTGTCCGCCACCACACCCAGCTAATTTTTTTGTATTTTTTTTGTTTAGTAGTGATGGGGTTTCATCGTGTTAGCCAGGATGGTCTCAATCTCCTGACCTTGTGATCTGCCCGCCTCGGCCTCCCAAAGTGCTGGGATTACAGGCTTGAGCCACCGCATCCGGCCGAGATCCTAAATTATGTGGCAGCATACTGCTTTAGGCTTCGTGGATGACTAAATTAATTTCAAACGTATAATGCTGTTTACTGTAAAATGCCAAGTGAAAGTCACGGTTTAATTTTATGTAATTTACAATACTTATTATACCTCAATAAAACTATAATTATCAAGGGCTGGTATCGGTTGCCAAGAGGTGGAAGGAGTACCTCTCTGCAGCGTGTTGGCTCAGGTGTGAACAGGACAAGGCCACAAGTTCGGCAACTTTTCAGAAAATGGCCTGGATCCCCAGCCTGAATCATCATCCCATGACTGGAGAATGTGGAGAGGTTATTGTATTAAGAAACTAATGATAAACCAAGGGCTATAGGAATTAAGAACAAGGACTAAAAGGGAAATGTTTAGAGTGATCCAGTATGGCCAATTAAAAGCAGCTGCACTCCCCAGCACTCACGAAGAGGAATGAAAAGGGGCAGGTGAATTCAGCACCTTCAACTGAGATATCCAGGTTCTTACATTGGGACTGACTGGAAGAACAGCTCGCCCCATGGAGAATGAAGAAAAGTGGCGAGAGGGTGCGATGGCCCAGCCGAGAGCAGCATGGAGCCAAAGGAACCCCCACTCCCGGCCAAGGGAAGCAGTGAGTGATTGTCCAATCCTGCTCAGGAGACAGTGCTTTTCCTATTGATCTTTGCAACCCATGGATCAGGGGATCCCCTTGTAAGCCCATGCCACCAGAGCTTTGTGTCTGATACACAGAGCTGTGTGGAGTCTCAGCAGATCAGATGCTCGGGCACACACAGAAACCCA